ACTGTATGTAGAAGTAATTAGACTACAAAAGGTTGCAGAAAAACACCAAACAGGAAATCAGAAACACACAAAAAAGAAATGTCATAAACAAGTGACAGAAGATCAGGAACATCTTTGAGGTTTAGTTTTTAACTTAATTTAGCTTCTTTTTTTTGTTTCTACAGCTAATCTCCTAAACCCGCCTCCCCTCGACACTAACTGAAGCTCTCACAATCACTCATTTGTTTTTTTTTAATAAAACACGAGGTCGTTTCTGTTTCACCATGTGTCAGTCAAAACATAGTTTGTCACTGAAGCATAAAATTTCATTAGGCTAATACAAAGAGCTGAAGCTTATTTAATAAAAGTGTGAAAGATTACAGATTTATCCATTTTATTCTCACACTGACTAATCCCTGCATAATTACCACAGCAGGTAGGGGACAGAAAATAACATCAACATTATTTTTTAGAGCAATGCTCCTCTGATGCAAAAATATCTGCAGTTTATAAAGTGATTAGTTCCCCTTTTTGACCATCTAATGAACAAAATATTAGGATAACTCAACTTATCTCTGCAAAGGCAGTAAAAAACTCAGTTATCAGCCGAAATGACGCAGTGAGTCAGGAATTTATGATGCTTACTAAAGTCGTGTTTTATAGAATGAGATTTATTCCTAAAATATAAATTAAAAAAAGCTTTTTATTTGCTTTAAATCAGGGGTGGGCAATCCTGGTCCTCGAGGGCCGCAGCCCTGCAGGTTTTACTTGCTTCTCTGCTCCAACACACCTGATATGAATGAATAGATGATTATCAGGCTTCTGCAGTACGGAGGACCAACACTGACATAATTAGAAATAAAACAGAATTATACAAATGAACCACTAAATGAATACATTTAAAATGTACCAATTAAAATAACAAAGGAGAACTTTATCTCATGTTTTTTGTTTGAAATGACTTGAATATTTATTTTTCCAGGTTAGTATAAATTAGTCTATATATTTTAACACATAATTTAAATGTTACTGTTTTGAACATACATGTTTTGTTGTTTTTCTTTT